TGATTGCATCGTTTGTATAATGTGACTTTACAAATGACGGATTTTCAACATTTTGAGGTCAATTGTTTTTCCGACTTTTGTGGAATGCTGCCGTTTTTGTGGCATGATTGGCCGGATCAGTTCTATCGCATGTTTTTCTCGCTGTTCTTGCACGCTGGGTTAGTTCACTGTCGTCGTCGCGCTTTTTTCACTTTTTGTTCTATTCTTCTTGATTATTTATGTAAATCGGTTCGAAAGCGTTTTTTGATTTTTGTGTTGATTTTTTGCGCATAATTTATCGAATTTTCAGGGTCATACATCTCATTTTCACTATTTGGGTGCAAATGTGGTTAATGCTTGATTTGGAGATGCTAATTGGATGGAAGCGTATGGCTATCCTCTATATAGGATCCGGTATCGGAGGAAATTTCGCCAGTGCAATTTTTGTCCCGTACAATGTAAGTTTTTGCTTGTTTAATTTCATTTTGTTTCTTAAAGCCCTTCTCAATATTGAGCTAGTATAAAATTGTCTTGTTTTTAGCCTGAAGTTGGTCCTGCAGGAAGTCATTTGGGGATAATGGCAGCACTTGTCATTGATTTATATCATCACAGGTAAGATTATGTCGTTTTGTTTGGTGTCGCTGTACATCATTATTATTAATCATCATTGATAACAACGTTTTCAGAAGTATCATCGTGAGACCTCAGAGGGAGCTGGGTAAGCATATGTGTACAGTTCTCGTATTGTTTTTAACAGGACTTCTACCATGGGTTGATAACTGGGCGCATCTATTTGGATTCATATTTGGATTGCTCATTACCATAGGTGAGTCAAAGAAACTTTATATTATGCGCTCTTATTCGTGTTTTTCTGCGATTTACTGCTCTTTTCGACTTGTATCCCTTTTGTTATGTTTTCTTAATTCTACTCTAACTTCTGTTTCAGTCACTTTCCCTTACCTGGATTTCGAATCTCATGAAAAGCCAAGGCAAGGCTGTCGCTCATCACTATCACGGAGGAATGTAAGTTTTTGAAGATCTAACCCTATTGACCGCATATGCTTCCGAATTGTGTGCATTTTTTTTCAGCTTGCAATAGTTATGGCACTCATCACTTGTGTGCTCCTCTACATCTTATTGGGATATATTTATTTCAACAGTATAGAAGTGAACTGCCCTTGGTGTGAATATTTCAACTGTATTAATATACGATTCATCACTGGATCTAATCATTTTTGCGACAACAGGGGACAGAAGCTCTCTCAGTGGTTGCCTATCTAGTTTTTTT